GAACTTAAACTTCGAAGAAAAATGAATCATTTTCTTCCATGTCTTCTGTTGCAAACATTTATCACTGCTACGAAAACCATGAAAGTCAGAAATCTAACTTTTAAAAATAGAGCACAAATAATAATCTTTAACTAATATAAATGAATTAGTACTGTCTGAACTGAATGATAAAAATGCTAATTTCAGGCTGCTAACCAGGGACCTAAGATCTATAAGGAAAACAGTATCTTGACTTTCCTCCCCAAAAATAGGAGGTGCAAAGAAAAGTATCTGGGATGGCTGGAGAAGCAGTCCTTTAAAACCCCTTCTCTTACCTCACCATCTTTTATATCATCCTTCCATCAGGTAACCTGCTATAATGTCCATGAGGTGAAGAAAAGCTTCACGTTTTCTTTCTTCCTTAGGCTGAAAATTACTCATTCAAGTCGGAGGGGAAAAAGAGACAAGATTTCAGCCTGCCCACCCTCTGGGAGCCAGTACAGGACACTCATGCTTTGGTCCTTTATTCTACCTGCCTTTCAATGCCACCACTTCCACCGAGGCGAAAAGGTCACTGATTCACTGGTTCGGTAAGGAGTACTACATACTGAAAAATATTTTCAAACCTATTTTTGATTCTGACATTGCAGAAGTTAATCTATTTCTCTGTATCTCAGGGTCCAAGCCAGAGAGGGAAACATTTTCCACTTACTCTAGAGGAGAAATGGAGGACGAGTGAAACATTTTCAGATGTTTTAGGAAATGGACTAGTTTAGAAACAGGAGATATAACTCTGAAGAACTATTTTTGAAAAACTGACCTGAGAAATGCAAGTACTTCGAAGAGTATCTCTTAGGACAGGGTTAGCAGACTATGACCCACCTGCAGGCGAAATGCGGCTCAGCACCTGGTGTTTTTGCACACCTTCTGAGGTTTTTAAATCTAAGAAATACAGTATTTTGGGACATGTGGAAACTATAGGAAATCCAAATTTCAGTGTCCTAATGAACTTTAATTGGAACCCAACCCATGCTCACTCATTAAGTACTGCCTATGGCTCTTTTTTGGCAGAATTGGGTAGTTGTGACAGAGACTGCGTGGCCCACAAAGTCTAAAATACTTACTACCATCTGGACTTTTACAGAAAGTTTGCCAGTCCCTGCCTTAGAAGACGATACACTTATTCTAATGAGACTACAAATTAGGAGATTATTTTTAAAGCTCCTTTTTTGAAAATGCCTTCAAAGCCATAACACATTCTTTTGAGTCTTACCAGTGGTGGCAAACCTTCCTTCTTGAAGATAAGAATGAGTTCTGGAAACAGCTAAGCTATTTGGATCCCAGATTGAGTAAGATTGGTTATTAAGATGAATCAACTAGCAAACATTCACTGATAATTTAAATTTTTAAAAAAAGATTTCTTTTTTTAAAAAGTACTATCTCTCACTTCCGAGAGCTAATCACAATACGCTTTCATAGCTTTGACTCAAGGTAAATAGGCTATATATTCATGAAAATAGAAAGTATAGTGGAGAAAAAATAATTCTATAACAAAACTGGGAGATCTACCCTCCTAAGTGGCTGTGAATTTGCTATAAAGTGTTGTGCTGGGTTTTTTTTACAAAGAGAACCTCCAAAGCCCTCTTCCTTTGTTGACATCTCCATCTGAATGCTCCACAGACACTTCAAACTCAGCATGTTCCAAACTGAAATGGTTACCTTCCTCTAACATTAAAAAAAATAAGACAAGGTTCTCTATCCACACAGGTTCCCAAGCTTAGAAACTAAGTTTACTTTTCTGTTCACCTTCAAAGCCAATCAATTTTTAAGCCCTCTAAATTCTACATTTTCAGTACCTGTCCTCGCCTCTTCATCTCTCTTTGCCTACTCCAGGCCCTTATCCTCTTATCTACTTCAATAGCAACAGCCTTCTAATGTCTCTCTCTCCATCCAACCCAGCCTCCACACCATACCACCATCCTGTTATCTTTCCTAATTACTTAAAGTCCTACACTGGCTCTCCATTGTTTTTAGAATCAAGTCCAAAGTCCTTAGCATGATACGCAGGCTCTTTACCACATGGCACCACCAGACTTCTTTTTTCTCTTTTTGAGTCACAATGTTTTATTTACCTAATCTGTATGCTGTTTTAGAATGTATCCTGTACTTCAAAGTATTAAAACTACCTTTATTGGCACCACGCTCTAACCAACTGAGCTAACCGGCCGGCCTAAAACTACCTTTAAACTTTGCCAAACTGGACAAATCTATTCCAAATGAGAGGCACTGAAATCCCACATTCAACCTAATTTCTAGCAGTTTCAGTGATCCTAATGTGATGAGCAACCATGCTCCGCCATTCCTTTTTTCCAGCTTATTTCCAGGCACCATCCCCTTCAGCCCAACCACTCATCACTACAACACTCTGACCTTAGTGACAACGAACTGCGACACATCCCTCAAACATACCGTATGCTTTCACATAACATTCCTGATTTTCAGTTACTGTCTCCTGTTCTCTTTCCCAACTCGGCAAACTCCTACTCATCCTTCAAAGCCAAATTCAAATATGGTATCTTCCTTCTAACCCTTCTCCCTACCATATGTAGCATTATTTTCCCTAATCAATGTTCCCATTAAACTCTAGATCTCTGTTTTAACTCTTATCACACTGAAAATGTAGGGACTTAATGTCTGGTTATAAGCTTCTTGAAGTTAGGGGAGCATTTTCTTTTCTTCAATCTAATGTTTAACTCATGGTCTGAGAACAGTCATTTTAAACTCCATATTGAAAAATAATCACCTCTTATATTAAGATAATGCCATAATTGTAGTGACTGAGTGACTGAGAACCTAGAAACAAAAAGAATCCCACATCATTCACCAAAGAAAAAAAAAAGCTCTTATATGCAAAGTATAATTAAACAGTAGCTTGGACATGTCTTCAATCTACATCTTGCACTACCAGTTTCTTTTCTCTCCCTATGTCTCTTTCCTTCTTTTTGAATACCTTCTTTACAGAACTCTTTTAAATACCCATTGTATTTTATTTGTATCTCACTCACAGAATTTGAAACTCAGTACAGTGCAGAGGTTAAGATCAGGATTTTTGGGAGCCCAACTGTTTGGTTTGAATCCTAGCTCTGCTACCTAGGCTGTTTGATATGGGCAAGTTACTCAACCTCTCTGTGTTTCTCAGCAAGGAGCTCATAATAATAATACCCCTCATGGTGCTGTGTAATGATTCAATTAGCTAATGCATGTAAAGAATTTAGAACACTGCCTGGCTCAGAGTAGGTCCCAGTTAATGCTGGTGGATGTTGTCATCAGTTTTAAAAACTCCTTTCTAGGTACTTATTTTAGTACACATGTTAGAGCATAATGTCCAGGATGGAAGAATTATATCCTGCCCATACATGAACATTGTACAATATACATGCTCAAACTGTGCCTTGGAACACAATAGGTGCTCAATAAATAATGTAAATGTAAGGCTTCAGGCTTCTAATATCAACAAGTTATAAATCACAGCAACATTTATGGTGTCTATTTTAAGTTGTGGTTTTAAAGCAGTTTCAAAACATTCCTCTTCCACTGAATCTTTGAAACATGTAAAACTTTTAAAGCAACACAAAAATTCTATTCAGTAGGCCCTTCCCCTTTTACTCCTCCATTTGATTTGATCGTGGTGTTCAGTGACCTGAAGCTCCCATCCATAACGTTTTGTGTTTTTGAAAAATGTATCTTTATTGATTTCAGAGAGAGGAAAGGAGAGGGAGAGAGAAACAGAAACATCGATGATGATGCAAGAGTCACTGATCGAGCCCACAACCCAGGCATGTGCCCTGACCAGGAATTGAACCGCAATCTCCTGGATCCCAGGTCCATGCTCAACCGCTGAGCCACGCCCGGCCAGGCTCATCCATAATGTGATTCATTACAGATCATTTAAGATGCAATGCCCAGCTTTAGAAATCTGCCTATTGTCACAGCCTGAAAAAAAATTCTTCCTTTAAATTTGCATTAAAAAAATCCATTGCCACCTTCAACACACACAAAAAAATTAATGAAAGGCCAAGAGACACAATTACTACATTTCCTGGTTTCTGCCTGGGAAACTAATTCAGAGCACGCCCAGAAGTATCCTCAGTAAAAGTCTGCTGGTTACAAACTGCTATTCCCTGTCTGATTTTCAGTCTCCCCCCCACCCCCCC